CCCCCGATAAGGGACTGTTTAATTTTTTTTAATCACTTGGGCTCTGCCAGGTGTCCTGAAGATAAGAGGGCTGTTTAGTCCTTGAGACTGGCTGGCTCCTGGAATGTGTGTCTAGTTCTGCTTTGACCTCTAAAAAGCTGCTTCACTTAAAATACCTTTAGATATGTTTCCCCGCTTTTTTAGTAAGTGCTTACAGGAATAATTTGTGCAGGTTAAAAGTCATACGGCATTGGTAAATTGTGCAAGTGTTAAAGTTACGTTTCCATTACACCAATAGACTTCAAATATTTATTGAACCCAAGTAAACGTCCAAAGACTTCCTGATACCTCCTAGAGATAACCTGGACTCTTTTGGAACCCAGCAACTTCTGCTGCCCTGGCCGGGCCAGTATGCCCTCTTATGGATGCTTCCCTCCCCTTCTTTCACTAATCCCTCTAAGGGCTCAGAGGACAAAAGCCTAGAGATGGCTGTCTTCAAAAAGCAGTGGCTTTCCACCTTTCCACATCCTACCCCAAAGGAAGGGATCTTTGCTATTTACTTAGAACAGGGTTTAAAAATAAATAAAACAATAGATACAGGAAGCACACAAACTACCCAACCGATTATCCAGCCACAGTCTATTCAATTCTTCCTTACTACTGGTTGCTAGTTCCCTAGTGTAGACCTTCACCACTTTTCACTAGGACTTCTGCTATGGTTTGAATGTTTGTCCTCTGCAAAACTCAGGTGGAAATTTGGTTGTACCTGCCAGCCGCAAAAGTTACTAGTTCCCTAGTGTAGACCTTCACCACTTTTCATTAGGACTTCTGCTATAGTTTGAATGTTTGTCCTCTGCAAAACTCAGGTGGAAATTTGGTTGTACCTGCCAGCCGCAAAAAAAAAAAAAAGAAAGAAAAGAAATTTGGTTGTCATTGTGGTGGTGTTGGGAGGTCGGACCTTTGGCAAGGAACTGTGGTAGGGCAATGTAAAAACTCAGAAAGTAGATATTTGCCTCTTAATGATTGAGGTTGGGTGAGTTTCCTGGAGATTACAGTTGCTGGCTGGGATCAAAATGCTCCAGGGAACTGGCAAGACAAGTGCGGCTTCTACCAGAGTTCAAAGGCTGCCTTTAGCCCTGATGGTGCATTTCCTTGCTCACACCCTGCTGGGCAAAGGAGGAAAAGCCAGAGCATGACTTGGAAGACCTGTGACAGGACTGGAAGTTCTGCTTAGGCACGTGGCCGCAAACTAGTTAGTTGGGAGGCCTGCAGCGTGTACAAGGTTCCTGAAGAACCCTACAGCTCTCATGAGGTGAACCCCAAGGATGAGGCTGCTCAAGTGGCTGATTTTCCTGGCCCACTGGGGAGTCGCCAGGGCGGAACCAGGTACTGCACTGGGAATGCCAGCAATGTCTGTTCTGTACTATGAACTCAGGATCGGGGCTGCTGGAAGCTGCTCACAGAAAGCTGAAAGTGCTTGTAAAAATAGCAAGGCAGGGAGCTAGGGAAGGGAGACAGGGTGGAGAGAGTTAGTAGGCATTGGGGGTGCTTATTGAGCCTGAAGATTTTAAGTGGGGATGTCAGCTAGCCAGGGAAAGGACACTGACTTTGCTAAGAGGTCTGGGTACATTAGAGGCAGCCAAGTGGTAGAGGCAGAAGGTGGCTGGAAAGATTCATGAACTCATTCAACCAATATTGGTTAAGGGCCTTCTCTGTACCATGTATTATTCTAGAAACCAGGGATATGGCAGAGAAGAAAACAAAGTCCCAGTCCTCATGAAGCAGTCCTTCACCTGGGAAGAAACAAACCAAAACAAAAACACCTAAAAAAGTAAAATACATAGTATTCCAGGAGATAAGTGTTATGGAGAATAATAAAATAGAATAGGGAGTGTGGGGAGGTGGGTACTTATAGAGTGGCCAGAGAAGAGCTATCTAATCTGGTGATATTTGACTGGAGCCCAACAGCAGTATGGGAGAGAGCCACTTGGAGGTCCAGGAGAACATTCCAGTAAGAGAGGACAGAAAGTACACCAGCCCTGAGGTGGACGCGGGGGATGTGTGTGAGGAACAGCAGGGAAGCCGGTGTGGCTGGAGCAGAGTGGGCGAGGGGAGTGGTAGAGAGGAGGTCAGCAGGAGAGTGGGGTGGGCACTAGCGCCAGCTCACGCATAACCTTACAGTCAATTGTAAGGACTCAGGCTTTTACTCAGAGTGAAATAAGATGTCAGTGGAGGATTTTAGGCAAAGGTGTAATGCGATCTGACGTGTGCATGTTTAAAAGGACCCGGGCTATTGTATTGAGAGGAGACTGTAATGGGGTAAAGTTAGGGTGTCCAAATGGTCCCAGTTCGCTTGAGACTTTCCTAGTTTTAGCACTTCAAGTCCAGCACCCTGGGAACTCCCTCAGTCCTGGGCAGACTGGGACGGCTGGTCATGCTAATAAAGGAGCAGCAGCGAGAAGGCTATTGGCATCCTCTGGGGAGAGAGGATGGAGGCTGGGACCAGGGTGGTAGGCACGGAGGGGGGGGCTGAGAAATGGTCTGATTCTGGAAAAGATTTGCTGACAGACGAGGAGGAACCAAGGATGATTCCAAGGTTTCAGCCTCAGGAACTGGAAGCCTGGACCTTTGCTGAGATGGGGATGACCCAGATGGTGGAGGAAGAGCTCAGTCCTCCTAGGCTGCAGTCTGAAGCATCAATGAAGCTCCTCTGGTCAGTCCACTTTCTCCAATACACTAAGATACTCATTGCAGCATTGTTATAAGAATGAAAAATTGCTAACAACAAGAGTGGAATAGCCAAAAAATTATGGTATAACCATCTGATGGAAGTTTCAAGAAAATACAACAAAATTGAAAATAAATAACATTTATTATTTATTATGTGCCAGATACTGCTAAAATTTCTGAATACATTATTTTTATATAATACCCTTACAACAGCCTTGTGAAGTAGGGATTATCATTCCATTTTACAGACAAGGAAACTGAGCCTTAGAGGTTAAGTAACTAACCCAAGGTTACACATCTAGTAAGTGGCAGAGTCTGGACATGAACCCAGGCTGTACAACTACACTGTTTATAACATAATGCCATGTAAAAACAAACAAACAAACCACGAAGGAAATAGCCAAGAAGAGTTAACATTTATTTATTGAGCACTTATGGTGTGCCAGACTTGGTACTCATTTGAAAAATGAAAGGAAAAAAATCATTTGATTTTTATAGCCCCTGTAAAGTTGGTACTATTACCATTATATCCGTTTTTCAGATGAGGAAAATGAGACTTGGAGGGCACACAATACTTGCCCAAGGTCCCACAGCTAGGATGTGTTGGGACAGAGTCTGTGCTCATTTGCCTTATGCGTCAATGCCCTTCGATGAGTCCTTTAGAGACAGCGGGTTTTATAGGTACGTTTTTTCTCCTTTTTCCAAACCTGCTAGTACACATCTAGAATTTAAACTCAAAATAAATTTAAAAAGAATTCCACAGCACCTGTAATTTTTTTTCGGACTGAGTATCTTCCTGACGAGCAGTGGGACTTTGAGACAGCCGATCAGACAGTCGTCATCCCTGCTTTGCACTAAACTGCGGGATTTCTAACGCCACCTTCCTTAGCCAAGCACTTGGATGGGGCACTGACTCACTGGCTCCTTCTCTTCCCACACACATCCTACGCCACACTCCACTTATCCCTCAGCTTCTAACTGCCCAGAAACAGACAAGTTCTTCCAGTGTGGGTTAGCATAGTAGGAAAACTTTCCCTCAAGGCCAGGCCAGAGCTAAGGGAGCAGCCAGGAAAGGGGAATACCAGTTCCTACATTGTGTGGCCCTAGCCTCAGATTCCTCACCTGTAAGATGGGAATGATAATACCTAACTCCTGGAGCTGTTGTGAAGAGAGGGTAACCCAACACAAGGAGTCAGTAAATGTTGGTTTTAACAAATGAACCCATGTGTTTTGGACGGCCTTAGTTTACAGAGGAGGAATTGCTATTGGAGTGCTTTAGGGCTCCGGCTGAGCATCAGTAGTAAAGGACTGAAACCAGGATTGAGATCGCTCTGTGGTGTGGGTTATACACTGTAACAGACAAAAGTCATGGAACCACAGGGATATAGAACTGAGAGGACCCTCAAAGAATCTTTATTCAATGCTCTCATCTTACACTTGAGGAAACAGAGGCAGGGGCCGGCCCTTGGCTCACTCGGGAGAGTGCGGTGCTGATAACACCAAGGCCATGGGTTCGGATCCCATATAGGGATGGCCGGTTGCTCACTGGGTGGGCGTGGTGCTGACAAAGTCATGGAACCACAGGGATATAGAACTGAGAGGACCCTCAAAGAATCTTTATTCAATGCTCTCATCTTACACTTGAGGAAACAGAGGCCCAAGAGGCTGTGTGGCCCTGGGAATGGCCCTACAGCTGGCTTGTTCACCCCCTGGCCAGGTTCTCCATACGTGATCACTCCTTTCATCCACACAACCGCGCCTTTGCTGTGGGCACTCTTATCATTTTACAGATGAGGAAACTGAAGCTCAGCTTGGGAAATCCCTTGCTCAAGTTGCCACTGCTGGTGTGGAGGAGCCAGGATTCAAAATAAGATTTCCCAGATTCCAATTTCATGCATGCCCTTTCAAAACAACCTGCTGCCTCAAGCCAGAAAACCTAGCTCCTACCTCCGGTCCTGCCTTTGAATATCTATGTGACCTTTAGCCTCTCTCTCGTTATCTATAACATAGGGATAAGAGCAGAGGAGAGATTGAATGTGATAGTTAAGTGAGATCATGCATGTACATTGTAAAGTTCTGTAAAATTTAAAGGACCATTATTTTTTTATATCCAAGGTCACACTGCTAGCTAGTGGCAGAGTAAGGTGCCCTGTGATCATTTCCATTCTAACAGGAATCCCAGGTCTGCCACTCACTAGCTCAGTTTCCTCATCTGTAAAATGGCTACAATAGTAGACTATATTTCACGTTGTCATGTGGCTACGTGGATAAGAGGGCTTGGTACAGCATCTGGCATTCAGTAGGTGCTAAATAAATGGCAGGTGCCTTCCTGCCTGCCTCTTGTCTCCAACCATAAGCAAACTCACCTTCTGGCCATTTTAAGACCTCCTTCCATAGAAACATGTGGCTCCCATTTTCTTATGGATAACATGTATCATAACAGCCACCTTCTGGGGGCTCCAAGTCAACAGGCATGACAACATTGTGTCTCAGCTTTGGAGTTAGGAAGTTCTGGATTTAAGCCTCAGTTTTCCTCATCTATGAAATGGGCATGAGAATTCCTGCCTCACAGAATGGCTGTAAGGATGAAATGAGATAAAATGTAAAGGATGGGCATCCGGCTAACATGCTTTGAGTGCTTGCTATTCTTTTTTTTAAATTATTTTTTGCTTTATTTTTATTTACTTTTCATTTTTTATTTTTTTTCCTGTAGAGTGCTTACTATTTTTTTTTTCCTTTTTGGACCGGTACAGGGATTGCAACCCTTGGCTTGGTGTCGTCCGCACCATGCTCAGCCAGTGAATGCCCCGGCCATCCCTATATAGGATCCAAACCTGCGGCCTCGGTGCCGCACTCTCCCGAGTGAGCCATGGGGCCAGCCCCCAGTGCTTACTATTCTAATCGTCATCTGCACAGCCTTATTCCTTCACTGAATGAATGCCCCGGCCATCCCTATATAGGATCCAAACCTGCGGCCTCGGTGCCGCACTCTCCCGAGTGAGCCACGGGGCCAGCCCCCAGTGCTTACTATTCTAATCGTCATCTGCACAGCCTTATTCCTTCACTGAATACATGTTTGCACACCTTCCACATCCCAGGCATCATGCTAGGTGCTGAGGACATGGAGATGAACAGGACAGGCTTTGTGCTCTCATGAACTGACGTTGTAGACAGGGAAGATGGATGACAAGCAAGCCAAAAAGACAATGTCATATGTGAGAGTGCTCTGAAGAAAATAAAACTGGGGGAGGTGACAGCTAGCAACTGGACGGGTTGGGGCCAGTGCTACTTGAGATGAGCTGGTCAGGGAAGGCTTCTCTGAGGAGGTGAGCTTTGGGCCAAGGTCTGAATGAGGAGGAGGAAGCAGCCATGTAATGATCTAGGGAAGACTGGACAAGGCCCTGGGGGTAGCCAGGGAAGTGGTTCTGTGAGGAGAATGAGCTATGGCTGAGGGCCATGAGTCAGACCGAGCGGCACCCTAGGTCACTGGGATCTGCACGTCCACAGTGAGGAGTCTGGGACCCAAGTAGGTGAAGCCACCTGCCTGGACCTCTGGCTCTCTCTGCCAGACAGTGGAGAGTGGAATGTTCCACTATCCTAGCTTTTCCTGGAAACAGGTCTTCGGAGACACATACCGGAGACACACACGTGCGCACATGTCACCAGGAAGTGCCAGGGAGGTGGGAAGTAGTTTCACATCTACATCCTGACTAGAAACTGAGAGCTGATACTCAAGCCTCCATCACCAGACAAGGAGTTTCTGCAGTGGAGAAATGTTCACTGAGTACTTTGAGGGCTGACATCAACGGGGACAAATTGCTCCACATTTGTGGTTAATTGAGAAAGAGTCTACTTGAGGCAGGGGAGTAGCTTCTGTATGGCCTGTGGAGGAAGCAAGGGGACCACACACCAGTGAGCAGGACAAAGGGCCTCCCAGTGCATCCAACCCGGCCAGCCAGGCTCCAGCTTGGAAGCAGGTGTGACCACTCACAGTATCAGCGCAGGGGCTTGGAGAGCCCACCAATGCTGCCCACTTATGAGTTGGAAGGGGGCAGTTAGTTCCTTTACTCTGGCTTAGGGTTTCGTCCCTGTAGGAATAATTTCAAATATATTAATGATCATAACAGGTGTGAAAGGTCAAATTCCCCCCATTATAAACAAAGACTCAGTTTGGGTAAAAAATTAAAATGCAGGAATACATTGTCAACAAAAAGACATATCTAGAATAAGATGGCACTGTTTTTACCCCCTTAACAATCACATCTCTCTGGGAGAGGATCTGGAGTCAGAGGACCTCCACCATTTACCATGTGATCTCAGGAATGTTGACCTCTGAACCCTAGTTTCCTTATCTGTCAAATGGAGATAATGATCCCAATATCTCCCAGGGCTGTGGTGAAGATGTCTGTAGAGTGCATGTGGGAGGAATAGTGATTTGCTTATTTGGTCATTTACACCTTAGTGTGAACAAGTTTCAGATCTTTTCCTGAGACCAGGTTTGGATCATTAGAAGGGCAAAAGCTCAAGAGCATCTGGGAGGAAAAGCCAAGGAGCGAGGGCAAGGGGCCAGTCTTTACCTGTGTGCCTGTCCTGGAGCCACACTGAATGTCCTGTCGCTTGGGTGGGGCCTCGGCTATCCAACCCTAAAATCAACAGAAGTCCAGTCTCCCAGGCCCAGGCTCCACTTCCTGACTCTGAGTGACACAGAAAGTGGAGGAGGAAGTGACAGCAATGATGAAGGGTGAGGAAATCCGAGGCCTCACCCCTGTCTTAGAACCACAGGAGTTAGGGCAGAGGTGAAATTGTTCAGTAAGCATCACTGAAACTGGTCATTGCCAGGCTCTGTGCTAGGCACACGTGATAAATCCACCCCATCTCGCCTGTTTCTTTGGATCTCGGCATTTCAGTCTCCCTTGGTTCGGAGCTGAGTCCAGGTTTCAGTGAAATTGTTCAGTAAGCATCACTGAAACTGGTCATTGCCAGGCTCTGTGCTAGGCACACGTGATAAATCCACCCCATCTCACCTGTTTCTTTGGATCTCGGCATTTCAGTCTCCCTTGGTTCGGAGCTGAGTCCAGGTTTCAGTCAATCACTTCAGCAGACAGGACCACTCCCAGCTACTTGAGCTGCCACCCTGAATCCGGAATTCCTAACAAGTGTACCCACCCAAGAAACTCAGCCCAATCTGAAATTATGTTCCTTCTCTGGTCTAGTACTCTTAGGCTCATTTCTACATGTATTCTCCACGATTTTGTTGGTATTAATTAGCAATCCAACTCATTTGGTGTGTAAGCCTTCTCCCCCAAGGTCAGATATTTGTACATATCATATTTCCCTGGAGCATGATAGGAGCTGGTTCTAGTTATGGCTCAGAGAAGTAACTTCACTTGCCCAAGGTCATGCAGCTCATAAGTGGCTCCAGAGCTCAAGCACTTAACCTTTACACTATTCTGCCTTGAGAATCACGCAGCCGGGTACCTCATGCTGCTGCCTTGGATGCTGAGGTGGGGAGATGGAAAGGGTCTTGCCAGAGGTCACAGGTCAGGATGGAGCTGAACCTATCCTCTGCTCTGCCCAGAGCCTCCCTGGGCAAACCTAGCCTGCGGGTGCCCAGGGGAGACTTCCTTCCACCTGTGCAACACCCCCTCCCCCACACCGGGGTTCTCCAGGACTCTTCCCCATCCAGGCTCAGGAAGGGACCAGCACTGAGGGAGGGTCTCTTTTCCCCTGCAGGGAAGTTCTGGCACATCTCTGACCTGCACCTTGACCCCGACTACAAGGTATCCAAAGACCCCCTCCAGGTGTGCCCATCAGCTGGCTCCCAGCCAGTACCCAGTGCAGGCCCCTGGGGGGACTACCTCTGCGACTCTCCCTGGGTCCTCATCAACTCCTCCATCTACGCCATGAAGAAGATCGAGCCGGAGCCAGACTTCATTCTCTGGACAGGGTGAGAGCAGTCACTACAGCAGCTACCCTGGGCCTGGCATTTGCTGTGCACCACACACCAGCTGGCAATTTACTGACACTGTCTCCTTTAATCTTCACATCAGCCCCATTTTAGAGATGAGGAACCCGAAGCTCAACGGAGTTATACAACTTGCCCAAGGGTCCCTGGGTCTGGCTGATCCCAAAGTCTCTGCTCTCAACCTCTGTCTCCAGGCCTCAGCAGAACACAGCTCTCTCTGAGGCAGGGAACATTGTTGTGGCATATCTGGGTACCTGGAGCATCCCTGGGTTTTAAGCTAGGGGATGGACACTGGAGCCACTCCCTTGGGGTTTAGGGACTCCAAGCCCAAGAGATCCAAATGTAGGGAGGGAAGAAGGTGCCAGGGCTGAAAGTGGTCCACCACTGGGGCCAAGTGTCCTGGTCAGCTGCTGGCCACCCCAGGTTGCCCAGTGGCCCTAGGGAGTTCTCACTGATCTGAGCACTGCTCTGCAGGGGGATAGCTTGAGGGGAGACTCTACTCAGCCACAGAGACTCAAATTCTGCTTCTCATCCAAGGATGCTTCTCTAAGTCCTTCCTCTTTCCTGGGAACTTGCCTTCCTCATCCCTCAAGGTTCCCCTATTCCCTCACTCAGTAGGTCAACCTGTCATGTGCTCAGCTCCAGGGTATACACTGGGGAGCAGAGATGATGGAGACTCAGACCTGTCTTCCAGGAGGTCACAGTCCGGTGGGCAATGCAGACAAGCCCCTTGACCATTACCTCCCAATGAGGAGAGAGGGTCACCTGGGAGCATATGGGAGCTTCACAGAGCACCTGACCCATCTGGCAGGATTGGGGAGGACCTCCTGCAGGAAGTGGTCCAGGGGAGCTGGTGAGGAAGTTTGCAGGAGCTCTGACTTCGTGCTTCCTCTGCCAGCCTCAATGGACACTTTTATAAGGCAGGATGAACCCCACAAGGCCCCCAGCTATCCCACACTGTGACATGGGAGTGACTAGGAATAACCCTCAAATGGACCCTGTGGTTGGCAAGGGAGGGGCAATGTTGCACACTCAAGAAATGTGACAGTGTCCGGGAGGGGCCTGGACAGCCCTGGCTTCCTTGGACTCAGGAATCTATCTAAGAAGGTGAACTTTAGTCCATTGCCTTGGAAACTTGCTCCCTCAAGGGGCTTGCTTGAGAAGCCTCTGATTTCTGTGAGGAGGGGACCACTGGGGAAATGTGTAACATTGTGAAAGACATGATATCTCTGGGAAAGATGACCTTTGGGAAGTTCATGATCTTTTAGCAGATGCATGGTTTTCCTGGGAGATCCCTGGGACCTTGCAGAGGTGTATGGCATTGGTCAAGATGACCTCTACGACCCTTTATAATTCTTCAATTATGAAGAAATTTGACTTCTCTGAGACAGCTGCAGTCTCTTGGAGGATGACCTATAAAAATTGGATGTGTTTTCTATCAGACAGAATTAGATCATCCAAACTAGAAATAAAATGGCATTTTGTTCCAATGTCTTTGGGTTCCTGGCCTGTTCCCAAGGAGTTTTCAAGGCTAAACAGCCCCTCCTGCTGCCCTGATGGGAGTATCAGAGACAGAACAGGATGTAATGGGTGTGAGCACAGACCCGGGGGCCAGGCTGACTGGGTTCAACTCTTGGCCTCACCATTTTCTGGTCCAATACACTTAGGAACAATACCCAACCTTTCTGTGTCTTGGCTTCTTTATCTGTCAAGTTGCCCTAACAATAGAACCTAAGTTGCAGGATTATTAAGAGAAACAAATTACTTGATGTGGCCACAACACACAGAAAGTACCTGGCACAAAGTAAATCGGTTGTGAGCTTCTAGTAGCAGTACCATATCAGCTATTAAACTGATTAACTTCCCTGGGCGAGGACCCAGCAGCAGCTGCCTGGCTCAGTCTGGTCCAGCAGAGGCCTCATGATTTATATCACCTGGACTTCTACCCCCCTGCCCCCGTAAACCACACCTGCCACCACTCTCCCGCTCCTGCTCCCTCACTTTGCTGAGCATAGATCCAGGAATTTAGGTCAGTTGAGTGGGGGACAAAGTGGCCCTGGGGCAGGTCCTGAACCTGAACTCTACACTGTAAAGCCAGCTCCAAACTCCTCAGAACTCCTGGGGAAAGGAGAATTCAGAGATGGCTTCTCAACCCTGAGCTCTCTGGGGGCTCACAGATGGGACTGGAACTCCAGAGCTTCTGTCTCTAAATAATAATAATATTAATTACAACCTAGCATCTACTATTACTATATTATGTATAAATATAAATATACACACACATGCACATAATTTCCCCCCTTGATTGAAGGCTCTTCAATATGCTATAAGTAGGTACCTTATTATCCCTATTTTATAAATGAGCTTATAGAGGCTCACAGAGGTTAAACAACCAGCCCAGGGACCCATAGCAGGTAAATGGCAGAGCTCGGGTGTGAACTCTGTCCTGTCTGACCTCTCCAGCTTGGCCATTCCCCCTCAAGTGGACATCTGAGGCCAGTTCTACAGCTTGCTTCTCACTGCAGCGCCGTCCTTTCCTTTTCTTGTGCCTTTCCTGAGTTGTCCATCCGACTGACTCAGTGGTGTTTTGCAGTGATGACACGCCTCATGTGCCCGATGAGAGGCTGGGAGAGGCGGCTGTGCTGGAAATAGTGGAACGCCTGACGAAGCTCATCAGAGAGGTCTTTCCAGGTAAGACTGTGCCATCGGTCCCCCCCACAGTGTCTCCTGAACCCTAGGCAGTGCCTGGCACAGTGGGCTAACAACAGTAGCAAGATCTACAATCAGACCCTCATCCAGGAACAAGGATGGCTGTTGGCCAGGTCCCATGCCAGGTGCTTCACAGTGATCATTTCTTACCTTCCCAATCACCCCACAAGGAACATGCAGGCTCCCTGGCCTGTGGATACACACTGAATCCTATTAAAGGAAATTCCTGATGTTTCACTGCCTTCTGCTCCCACCTGTTTTTTTTGTTTGTTTGTTTTGTTTTTTTGTCTTTTTTGTGACCGATAAGGGGATCGCAACCCTTGGTGTGGTGTCGCCCGCACTGCGCTCAGCCAGTGAGCGCACCGGCCATTCCTATATAGGATCCGAACCCACGGCGGGAGCGTCGCTGAGCTCCCAGCGCCACACTCTCCTGAGTGCGCCACGGGGTCAGCCCTGCTCCCACCTGTTTTTTCTGTTTGTTTGTTTTGTTTTTTTGTCTTTTTTGTGACCGATAAGGGGATCGCAACCCTTGGTGTGGTGTCGCCCGCACTGCGCTCAGCCAGTGAGCGCACCGGCCATTCCTATATAGGATCCGAACCCACGGCGGGAGCGTCGCTGAGCTCCCAGCGCCACACTCTCCTGAGTGCGCCACGGGGTCAGCCCTGCTCCCACCTGTTTAACACCAGACTCACAAACCGTTCTCAAGTTGTCTACAGTTATACATAGGTGTTGTCCCTGGCTAAGTCTCACACACAACCCTGAGTCCTGCTCTGGAGTTGGCATCACTGCCCTCAAACCATCATGGCTGCCAGCCTCTGGGAGATGCTGATTTCCAGCCAAGGTGCTGTTTCTTGGTGCTTCCAAGGCCTTCAGAGCTTGAAAGAGCAGGCAGGGGCTGGGAGAGAGTGAAGCAGCTGTCCTGCGGGACACAACAGGGAGAACAGGGTCTCTGTGCCCCATCTAATGGCCCTTGAAAATGTTTTTATTTTAGGGCCACCCCATGGCTCACTCAGGAGAGTGTGGTGCTGATAACACCAAGGCCCCGGGTTCGGATCCTATATAGGGATGGCCAGTTAGCTCACTGGCTGAGCGTGGTGCTGACAACACCAAGTCAAGGGTTAAAATCCCCTTACCGGTCGTCTTTTTAAAAAAAAAAAAGTTTTTATTTTATTTTATTTTTTTATTTTGTCAATATACAATGTGGTTGATTATTGTGGCCCATTACCAAACCCTCCCTCCCTCCTCCCTCTTCCTTCTCCCTCCCAACAACCTCATATTTGTTCGCTTGTCGTATCAACTTAAAGGAATTGTAATTGTTGTGTCTTCTTCCCTCCCCCCACCCAGTTTATTTGTGTATTTATTTATTTATTTTTAGCTCCCACAAATAAGTGAGAACATGTGATCTCTCTCTTTCTGTGCCCGACTTGTTCCACTTAATATAATTCTCTCTAGGTCCATCCATCTAGGATGAGGACCATCTAGGTCCTCAATAAAATACTAGCTAACAATACAGCAACACATACAGAAAATTATATACCATGATCAAGTGGGATTCATGTTGGTTCAACATACGCAAATCAATAAATGTGATACACCATATCAATAAAATAAAACACAAAGACCACATGATCATCTCTATAGATGCTGAAAAAGCATTTGATAAAATTCAACACTCATTCACGATAAAGACTCTCTACAAGTTAGGTATAGATGGAAAGTATCTCAACATAATTAAAGCCATATAGGATAAACCCACTGCCAATACCATCCTGAATGGTGAAAAGCTGAAAGCTTTTCCTTTAAGAACAGGAACTAGACAAAGATGCCCACTCTCACCACTCCTATTCAACATAGTGTTGGAAGTACTAGCCAGAGCAATCAAAGAAGAGAAAGAAAAAAAGAGCAACCAGATTGGAAAAGATGAAGTCAAACTGTCCCTGTTTGCTGATAACATGATCCTATATATGGAACAGCCTAAAGCCTCTACAAAAAAACTCTTGGAGGTGATAAATGATTTCAGCAAAGTCGCAGGATACAAAACCAACACACAAAAATCAGTAGCATTTCTATACTCCAATAGTGAACATGCAGAAAGAGAAATCAAGAAAGCTTGCCCATTTACAATAGCCACCAAAAAAATAAAATACTTAGGAATTGAGTTAACCAAGGATGTGAA